ATTTTGGGAGGCCAAGATGGGCAGATTACGAGATCAGGAGTTCAACACCAACCTGACCAACGTAGTGAAAACCTGTCTCTACTACAAATACAAAAATTAGCCGGGCATGATGGCGCACACCTGTAATCCCAGCTACTCGGGAGGCTGAGGCAGGAGAATCGCTTGAACCTGGGAGACGGTGGTTGCAGGGAGCTGAGATCGCGCCATTGCACTCCAGTCTGGTCGACAGTGAGACTCGGTCTCAAGAGAGGAACTTGGGATCACTTAACTGCCCTGCTCTTTAATCTTCAGTGGCTCTTAGCCTCCACATGGAGGACTTCCTAGCCTGGTGCCTGCATAGCTGTTTCTTCCTTCAGACACCTCTTCTCACTGAGAGACCTGAGCACTCGTACCTTCTTCTCTACGTGATGCCTAATATGTGACTACAGATTGAGTCATTTGAAGGAAAATTACAAGGGGCTAAGAGAAGATAACACAGAGGACTGACTCTAGACCAAAGAGTTGGAATCCAAAAAAGGGAACCAAGAAAACAGAGGGAGGACATCATAAAGAAAGAGCTGAAGACCCAGGATTGGAGAACCAGGCTTCCATCCTGAAGTGACCCACCAGTCCTGTTCAGCAGATGACAATAGACTCACCCAAACACCTCCCTGGGGAATTTTCCACTGGTGTCACAGAGAAGACTCTAAAGCCTGCAGGAAGAGAGCAGTTTCCACACAATAAGAACCAGCCAGATGTGGTGGCTCACACCTATCATCCCACACTTTGGGAGGCCAAGGCAGTTGGATCACCTGTGGTCAGGAGTTCCAGACCAGCCTGGCCAATGTGGCAAAGCCCCATCTCTAAAAATACAAAAGTTCGCTGTGCGTGGTGGTGGGCGCCTGTAATCCCAGCTACTCTGGAGGTTGAGGCAGGAGAATCACTTGAACCCGGGAGGCAGAGGTTGCAGTGAGCCAAGGTCATGCCATTTCACTCCAGCCTAGAGACGAGCAAAACTTTGTCTTGAAAAAATAAAATAATATAAGAACCAAAATGGCCCCAAGCTTCTGAACATCAAAACTGGAGCCAGCAAGCCATGGCACCTTCTTAGTTCCTAAGGAACATGGTCTGATCTCCAAGCTGGAATTCGATACCCAGCCAAGCTGTCAACCAGGAATAAGGAAATTTACAAATGTACAAGGGCTCACATTGGCTCGTGATCAATCTTTGGTCAAGATGCAACAGCAGGGTGGGCTTCAGATGAGAAAAGAATGCCAGGGAGTGGTGCATGCCCTTTCTGCAGAAACCACAGCCATCCTCCTGCCCCACCCGCCGTTCTGCAGCAGCCTTGCCACTCCTGTGAAGAGGTGGCTGCTTGGCTGGGTGCTGTGGCTCACACCTGTAATCCCACACTTTGGTATGCTGAGGCAGGCAGATCACCTGAGGCCAGGAGATTGAAACCAGCCTGGCCAACATGGCAAAACTTCGTAAAAATACAAAAATTAGCTGGGCAGGGTGACACATGCTTGTGATCTCAGCTGCTCAGGAGGCTGAGGTAGGAGAATGGCTTCAACAAGGGAGGTGGAGGTTGCAGTGAGCCAAGGTTGCACTCCAGCCTGGGTGACAGAGCAAGACCCTGTCTCAAAAAAAAAAAAAAAAAGAAAGGTGGCTGCTGATCCCCTTCCCTTGATGGTGGCTTTGGAGATCAATGGAAGGAGGTGCAAATGACGGTTGTGGCTGCTGAGGCCAGGTCATAAAGGCCTTTGTTTCTGACCGTTCCCTGGGAGCACTGGCTCTCCCATTGCTCACTCTTGGAACCTGGCCTCCATGTTCAGGGAAGCTGAGGCCACACCAAGACGCCGCATGGATATGCCCTTCTTGACAGTGACTGCTAAGCCCGGGTTCCAGTGATCTTGGCCTAAGTGCCAGGTGCAGGAGTTAAGGAGCTTCCCAGTGACCCCTGCCCAGCTGAGCAGGTGGGCAGGACTGGGCATGGGCAGCTCCCAAAGGCTGCCTCCTAGCAGCAGAGCCCCTGTGTCTCTGTGGGAAGACAACTGGGGCTCCCCCCAAAACAGATGTATTGATTAAAACCCCACACACGGCTGGGCGTGGTGGCTCACGCCTGTGGTCCCACACTTTGGGAGTCTGAGGCAGATGGATCACCTGAGGTCTGGAGTTCCAGACCAGCCTGACCAACATGGTGAAACCCCACCTGTACTAAAATTACAAAATTTTCAGCCGGGCGTGGTGGCGGGTGCCTGTGATCCCAGTACTCGGGAGGCTGAGGCAGGAGAATCGCTTGAACTCAGGAGGTGGAGGTTGCAGTGAGTGGAGGTGGTGCCACTGCACTCCAGCCTGGGCAACAGAGACTCTTGTCACAAAAAATAAATAATAAACCTCACACAGCTGCTGGTCTCATCAAAATGCTGCAGGCTTTATCTTCCCAGAGGCTGCCTACCGCTTAGCAGAGATGTTTCTACCTAAGTGGACGCCTGCTTGTGGAACAGAGAGTTTCCTGGGACGCATCCTAGGAATGCAGGGTCCCAGCCTGTAGGTAACACCCGCCATGGGCACCGAGGAAGAACCGTCCAGACCCCAGGCACAACCAGTGCCTGAGGAATATCTTAGTTTATGGTGTTATTACTCAGCTGTTTCCTTTATATAATCCTTCATATATAATCATATATTAGTATATAGAATTAGTGCCTGAAGTATAACTTACTGCTTACATATATCTAGCTTACATAATCATACTTAATACTTATACCTAGCATACTTAGTACTTACACCTAGCATACTTAGTTCTGTATAATCTTTCTATATAATCATCTAGGTATTGTAGTCAGAGCTGTACTGACACATTCAGTGCTGATTTATAGAATCCTCCCATATAACCACATAGTCGTCTGTAGTAGGAGGAATGCCTGGAGCAGTCACAGACAGAAGCAGTACATGGGAAAACAGCCGGACCAGGACGAGAACCCAAGACCCAGGCGGCGGCGGCCCCGCCTGAAAGGGCACACGCTGTACGGCAGGCTTGGAGCAGGAGCCTCGCCTCCTGAGAAAGGAGCTGTAGCACCTTGCATCCAGTTCCTGTGGAAAGTCGGCCTCAGGCCTGAGATCCTGGAAGTAACCGCGGGAGAAGAACCCTCTGGTGTGACCAGTCACGGCGGCCGGACACCCTGTCAGTCTTTTCTCACTCTGTGCTAGCTCAATCATCCTCCCATAAATATCTTAAGAGAAGAGCACAAGTCTTCAGCTCCCACTGCACTGGCTTACAGCATCCTTCTATTGGAAACCCTTTGAAGTCTCCAGTCCCCAGATAAGAAGTGTGGCCCACGACACCTGCTGCACACAGCCACCTCCTTGCCTCGGTGACCTAATGGGGGTGGACCCCTTTTTGTACACGACCCTCTACTACTGCGCACGGCCCACCTCTGCCCAGGTGACATAATGGGGTGGCCCCCTTGCTTGTGACTCATGTGATTACATATGCCGTATCACTAAGCCTATAGATGATGACCTCACTCACGACCTTGCCCCCTGCTTGTACCTAATACATACAGATGCTCTTGGGCATTTTGGGGTACCCCCTGCTGATCTCCGCTCAGGCTGTGTGGCCCCCCCGAGTCCAGATGCTCTTCACCAGTTCTTCAGTGTCCCGTCTCTTTACTTCTCAGATACTGCACCTCAGCACAGCATAAGAGACACCCCACAAGCCTGTGGGGCCCTACAGCCCTGCACCAGCCCTGTCCCGGGACTTCTGGGGACTTCCTGCTGGACAGCTTCCCCGGGAGACTCATGGGTGTAGAAGGTGGGGCTGATGTCAGAAAGACACTTGAGATTCCCCCCCCCACCTCCCAGTGCTGGGACCGTTGGCACGTCAGCAAGTTAATCTCCCTGTGCCTCAGTTTCCTCATCTGGAAGGTGGGGGGTAGTGACGGCCCCTTCACAGGATGGTTGTGAGGCTTGTCTGACATTTACCTTGGGTCCGAGCGCACAGCAAAAGCTCAATAAATGGCATTAGTCCCAAATCTCTCTTCCTGGGCCCTTTCTTATTTTGTGAAGTGAACTTACCATGGGCTGAATTAAAAACCAGCAGAGAGCAGGGGAGGGCTTCATGGGTCCGCGAGGCGGTGGAGGGGGATCCTGGAAGGGGCCCCCATGATCTGGTCCTGAAACACTTCAGGTGGGGTGCAGTGGCTCACACCTGTAATCCCAGCGCTGTGGGAGGCTGAGGCAGGCGGATCACCTGAGGTCGGGAGTTCGAGTGCAGCCTGACCGACGTGGGGAAACCCACCTCTCCTAAAACTACAGAATGTAGCCGGGCATGGTGGCGCTCGCCTGTAATCCGAGCTACTCAGGAGGCTGAGGCAGGAGAATCGCTTGAACCCGGGAGGCGCAGGTTTCAGTGAGACGAGATTGCGCCGCCGCACCCCAGCCTGGACGACGGGACGAGACTCCATCTCTTAAAAACAAAACCTCTTGTCCAATGACTGCAGCACGGACTGGGCTCGGGTGCGCCTGTTCGTGTGCACGCGTGTGTCCCTGTGTGCCTGCGCGCGCATGGGCCTTCCCGTGTCTGAATCCCTTTCCCAGGATGTCCTGGAGTCCGGGGCCCCCCGCGGGGCCGGGTCAGCGCGCGCCATCAGAGCCCCACGGCAGCCGTCCCTCCGGCTGGCACCTGCCCCCCTCCCGCCCCGTGAGCAAACCCCACGTAGTCCTCACCGGCCGCTGGGCCCGGCCTGTCTGCAGCGTGGGAAGCCGGCCAGGCCTGTGACCCGCGCCCGGGCGAGGGACGGACGTGCGTCCGCCGCGTGGGAGGCGTTCCGGGTCCCTGCAGGGAGCTCAGTCCCAGCGCCCGCGGAGCTGCGCCGACCCCCGGCTCCTTTCCCCGCATCCCGGGCGCAGGGCCGAGGGGGCGCCGGGTGCGGGCGCGAGCCGGAGCAGGACCGACGCGGGGAGCGCGCGGAGATCCCGCCGGAGGCCGCCCCTCCCTCCCGCCGCCCGGGGTCACGCGCCGCGCGGTCCCCGCCCCGCCCCGCAGCGCCTGGGCCAGCGCTTCCCAGCGGCGAGCCCCGAGTCCCGCGCCCATGGAGCAGCTGCTGCGCGCCGAGCTGCGCACCGCGACCCTGCGGGCCTTCGGCAGCCCCGGCGGCGGCTGCATCAGCGAGGGCCGAGCCTACGACACGGACGCAGGCCCGGTGTTCGTCAAAGTCAACCGCAGGACGCAGGTGCTGGCCCGTGGGCTCCGCGGGGCTCTGCGCCGCCTGGGGAGGCGGAGGGGCCGGGCGGGCGCATTTCCCAGGGCTGGGCCTGGTGGGGTCCGCCGCGGCGCTGGGGGCGGCACCTGCGGGGAGCGCGGCTCCAGCGTCCTCTGAAGGTTTCGGCACCGCCACTGCCTTCCTTTGGCCTCCATGCACACCGCACAGGCTTCTGGGGGTGGTTTTAATTTTTCTATCCATCAAGCATGCAGGGAGGTGAGGCTTGGGGTCCCGGGCCCAGCTCTGGGCCGCCCCCCTCAGCCCACGGCCCTGGCAGTGGAGACAAAGCGGAGACGTGGCTGGACCCTGCGAGGAGGCCAGGCCAGCGTTCTCCTTCCCACAGGCTTTGCCTGTGTTTAGCCCGGGTTTCTATCTCCTGCTGAAAGTATTTCTGTTTAAGAATGTATGGGCCGGGCGCGGTGGCTCACGCCTGTAATCCCAGCACTTTGGGAGGCCGAGGTGGGTGGATCACAAGGTCAAGAGATCGAGACCATCCTGGTCAACATGGTGAAACCCCGTCTCTACGAAAAATACAAAAAATTAGCTGGGCATGGTGGCGCGTGCCTGTAATCCCAGCTACTCAGGAGGCTGAGGCAGGAGAATTGCCTGAACCCAGGAGGTGGAGGTTGCGGTGAGCCGAGATCGCGCCATTGCACTCCAGCCTGGGTAACAAGAGCGAAACTCCGTCTCAAAAAAAAAAAAAAAAAAAAAAAAAAAAAAAGGCCGGGCGCGGTGGCTCAAGCCTGTAATCCCAGCACTTTGGGAGGCCGAGGCGGGTGGATCACGAGGTCGAGAGATCGAGACCATCCTGGTCAACGTGGTGAAACCCCGTCTCTACTAAAAATACAAAAAATTAGCTGGGCATGGTGGCGCGTGCCTGTAATCCCAGCTACTTAGGAAGCTGAGGCAGGAGAATTGCCTGAGCCCAGGAGGCGGAGGTTGCGGTGAGCCGAGATCGCGCCATTGCACTCCAGCCTGGGTAGCAAGAGCGAAACTCCGTCTCAAAAAAAAAAAAAAAAAAAAAAAAAAAAAAAAAAAGAATGTATGGGCCGGGCGGTGGCTCACGCCTGTAATCCCAGCACTTTGGGAGGCCGAGGCAGGCGGATCATGAGGTCTGGAGTTCAAGACCAGCCTGGTCAACATGGTGAAACCCTGTCTCTACTAAAAATACAAAAATTAGCCGGGCATGGTAGCACGCGCCTGTAGTCCCAGCCACTCTGAGGCTGAGGCAGAAGAATTACTTGAACCCAGGAGGCGGAGGTCGCCTCAAAAAAAAAAAAAAAAGTGTGGAAAATGTTAGCACAGGTGTAGAAAGTTAGCTTAAGCCTTGAGAGCAGGCGGGCCGGGAAAGGCAGGCCTGGGCACCCTCCCGGCCCGAGCGGGCTCAGGAGGCTCTGCCGCTCTGGTGGGGGAGGCTCTGAGGGGCTGCACGGGTCCTGGTGGGAAGTGCTGGCAGGAGGAACCCTAGAGCCAGGCAGCCCGGGCGTGGGATTGGATCCTCCCGTGTCTCCTGCTCTGCTGGCTCAGGACCCGAACCCGTCAAAGTGAGGAGTCCCACTCACTGTGAAGCAGTTTTTGCTTCAGGCTTCCCACAGGGCCTGGGAAACTTACTCAGCTGGTCCTGAAAGCTCTGCAGGGTGAGACCCCGCCTTTCCTTCCACCCCGCGAAGGCCCTGCACACAGTAGGTGCTCAGTCCATGCACGAGAGCTGGTGACGCTGGGACCCCTGGGGCTTAGCAGCCCGAAGCCCAGGAGTCCTCTGCCTGGACCTGGGAGCAGGGCTGGGGTGTGCCGCTGCCCTCCCAGCTGTGGACGCTCACACTCACCCGAGGTTCAGGCTGGCATGGGCTGCCAGGCTGGGGAGGCTGTACCTGGCGTCCCCTGGGGTACTTTGAAGTCAAGGATGTTCTTTTCCTGTGTGACAGTAGATGCTTTGGTCTCATTCATGAGGTTTGATTTTTTAAAACATGCAATCCTACACTTTGGGAGGCCGAGGCAGGCAGATCACATGAGGCCAGGAGATCTAGACAGCCTGGCCAACCTGGTGAAACCCCATCTCTAGTAAAAATACAAAAAAACAGCGGGGTGTGGTGGCAGGTGCCTGTAATTCCAGATACTCGGGGGGACTGAGGCAGGAGAATCATTTGAACTCAAGAGGTGGAGGCTGCAGTGAGCTGAGATCACGACATTGCACTGCAGCCTGGGTAACAGAGTGAGACTCTGTCTCAAAACAAACTAATATGCAATTCTAGAGGCCAAGGTATTCACAGACCACACTGATCAATGCATTTCAACCAATGTGTAGCGTACATAAGGCGGGAGTTCACCTAACTCAAAATTGGGATGTTAGTGGGGGTATTTCAGAAACAGGAAGGCCCGGTCTCATGGGAGGTGCTGGGGGCAGGCAGGGTGTTCGGTGCCTTTTAGCTTCCCAGCCCCTGCTGGGTGCGTGTCAATTGGAGGATGGGCCCAGCCCCCTTCATCCCTGCCCAAAGTGTGTGCCCAGGTCAGCTCCACAGCTCTGCTATGGCTGCCACACCCTAAGAGGCAGCAAGGAAGCTGGGTGACCCGGGAGTCCAGCTCTGGACCCTCAGTTAACTCACACCTCCCCACGTCCACAGCGCTCCATGGCAGCCCCCCGTGGCCTGTGCTTCCTCCTCTCACAGCAGCCTGCAGACCCCACACCCCTCAGGCCCCAGGCTCAGACTCAGCTTTGCAGCCTCTCCTCTGCAACGGGGGCCCCTCTGCACTCTGCCCTCCGTGGTGGATGCCAGCTCCCAGCTGGTATCAGAGACTGAAGGTCCTTGTGGTTCCCACGTGGTGGCTTCCATCAAGGGCCTGGTGAGCAGAGGCCCTGGCTGAGTCAACAAGGCTGACGAGGCTCATGGCTGTTCTGGATGCAGGCCCGGCAGATGTTTGAGGGGGAGGTGGCGAGCCTGGAGGCCCTCCGGAGCACAGGCCTGGTGCGAGTGCCGAGGCCCATGAAGGTCATCGACTTGCCAGGCGGTGGGGCCGCCTTTGTGATGGAGCATTTGAAGATGAAGAGCTTGAGCAGGTGAGTGTGTGTGAGAGACCCATATGCACACGTGCGTGCCGGCAGAGAGAGACAGAGAGACACAGAGAGACAGAGATAGGGACAGAGACGGGGAGGGAGGCAGAGAGTCAGGGAGCAGCCTCTGGCTGAGCGGCCCACACAACTGCCCAGTTATCAGAGGCAGGGCCAGGAGTTCCACCCTGACATTCTCCATGCAGATAAAAAGTTGCTGCTTTCTGGTATGTGACTGTTTTTTAAAGATTAGTTTGGCTGTAATGAGGCTGTATAAAATAAGTTTTTTTTTTTTTTTTTTTTTTTTGAGACGGAGTTTCGCTCTTGTTACCCAGGCCGGAGTGCAATGGCGTGATCTCGGCTCACCACAACCTCCGCCTCCCGGGTTCAGGCAATTCTCCTGCCTCAGCCTCCTGAGTAGCTGGGATTTCAGGCATGCGCCACCATGCCCAGCTAATTTTTTGTATTTTTAGTAGAGACGAGGTTTCACCATGTTGACCAAGATGGTCTCGATCTCTCGACCTTGTGATCCACCCGCCTCGGCCTCCCAAAGTGCTGGGATTACAGGCTTGAGCCACCGCGCCCGGCCCCTTTTTTTTTTTTTTTTGAAACACAGTCTCACTCAGTTGCCCAGGCTAGAGTGCAGTGGCACAATCTCAGCTCACTGCAACCTCTGCCTCCAGGGTTCAAGTGATTCTCCCACCTCAGCTTCCTGAGTAGCTGGGATTGCAGGTGACTGCCACCACACCTGGCTAATTTTTATATTTTTAGTAGAGATGGAGTTTCACCATGTTGGCCAGGCTGGTCTTAAACTCCTGATCTCAAGGGATCCACGCACTTTGGGCTCCCAAAGTGCTGGTAGTACAGGCATGAGCCACCACACCTCGCCAAAATAAGTATATTTGAACCTGTCATTTGCTTTGTACTTTATTTTTATCTTATGTTTTTTCAGAGACATAGTCTTGCTCTGTTGCCCAGGCTGGAGTGAAATGGCATCATCTTGGCTCACTGCAACCTCCGCCTCCTGGGTTCAAGCAATTCTCCTGCCTCAGCCTCCTGAGTAGCTGGGATTACAGATGCATGCCACCTCACCCAGCTAATTTTTGTATTTTTACTAGAAACGGGGTTTCACCATGTTGGCCAGGATGGTCTTGATCTCCTGACCTTGTGATCTGCCTGCCTTGGCCTCTGAAAGTGCTAGGATTATAGGTGTGAGCCACTGTGCCTGGCCAAGAGTGGAGAGTAGTTTTTAATGTATTTAAAACATTTCTCAAAATGGAACAAACTGGGTGATGTTATTTTTTATTTGTTATTTTAATTAGCTGCATTTCTTCTTTCCTCAGTCAAGCATCAAAACTTGGAGACCAGATGGCAGATTTGCACCTTTACAACCAGAAGCTCAGGGAGAAGCTGAAGAAGGAGGAGAACACAGTGGGTATGTTCAGATTGCTTTTGGATACCCTTGACCCAGCCACATTGTCTATCCTAGATTGGTGCTCATAGTACTTCTTGGTGGCATTTCAATAATAGGCTGAGTTGTATACCATCTCCCTTTACACTACAGTATGAAAACGAGATTATTAAATAAGAATTTTGATGGAGCTGATAAGCTAGTAGAATTGGCACATTACCCCTTTTACACCCAGCCCTCCTGTCTGGTGTGCTTGAGGTAATAACCACCCCTTTTATACCCAGCCTTGCTGTCCAGTGTGCTTGAGGTAGGAGTGTCCTGGCAGATCCATATGTTGACTAATTGCTATGTATGTAGTATATCCTCAGACCACCCATATTGTAGCATGTGCAGCCCAGGCTTGTACTGATGCTATGCTGAGGTCTGGCATTTAAGAGAAAGACAAACGACTCCTTCAGGGCAAGGATCTCTGTCAACAGGTCGAAGAAGTGAGGGTGCTGAGCCTCAGTATGTGACCAAGTTCGGCTTCCACACGGTGACATGCTGCGGCTTCATCCCACAGGTGAGTGCCTGGGTGAGGGTGTTCCCTGATGCTCTAATGCTGGTCACCCACTCTTTATATGTGACAGAATGCAGTCCACTAGGCACTAGTAAGATTGACTACCTGATTTCTGAAAGCAGAGTACAAGCTGTGATATCTGGAATGGGGAGAGCAGATGCTGAGGGTCACTGAGCTGAGCTGAGCAGGCTCATGGGACATGCTGAGGCAGGCAGATTGGCATTCCAAGCAGAGGCAGCCTCGAGTGCAAAGGTTGTGTTGCACAAGGCTCCTGATGAGTATGAGGGACTGGAGACAGTGGGTGACAGGTAGTGTGCAAAGTCAGGGATTAAGTCCTGATTACTCAGCTCCTCCCTGAGGCCTTTACAAATTATTATTTATTCAGAGACAATTTTGATATAATTCACATAAGACCCACCATTTTAAAGGGTAGAATTAATTGGTTTCAGTACATTCACAAGGGTGTGCAAACATCACCGCTGTTTAATTCCAGAACATCTTCAGTACCCTGAAACAGAACCCATTAGCAGTCACCCGCTCTGTCCCCTTCCCTGGCAGCCTCTAATGTCCCTTCTGTCTCTTCGAATTGACCTATTCTGGACATTTCATATGAGTGGAATCACATAAAATGTGACCTTTTGTGCCTGGCTTCTTTCACTAGGCACTGTGTTTCAGGGTTCTTCCGTGTTGTAGCAGGTATTAGAATGCTATTCTCTTATGGCCGAATGATATTACATTGTATGGCTAGGCCACATTTTTGCTTATGTATTCCTTTTTACGGCTGAATAATATCGAGGCCTCTTGAACCAACATCTCTGAAACCTGTGAAATTCCAAAGAAGGCTCTGGACAGCCCACCTGCCCTATGCTTCCCTCAAAGAAGCCATTATGGGACCATATTTTGGCTTCATTAGGGACACAGTGTCCATTACATAAGACCTAGTCCGGTTTAAAGTTACTGCTTCCTGAAGAGAGGATGCTTTCCAATCTGTGCCCTCATCAAAGCCTGTCCTGACTAGTTGGGTCTCTGGGGATAATGACCAAGCTCTCCCTGGTGTGGGTGGAGGGAGATTCTCCCAGCTGGAGGCCACTTGGGGCAAGATCCTCATGACGCCCAAGCAGATTTAGGGTTCCCAGCCAACAGGCAGTCATATCTGGGCTCACTAGAACTGCACATGGAGTCTGCCAGATTTACCAAGACCCCCGAGATCTCAGCCACGGTGGGTTCCCCTGGGGTCACACAGCTGCCTAGAGTCAGTGAGCAGCACTGCCTTCATCGTCAGGTGAGCTGTGGATGCTGAGGTCAAGGGCTGCAAGTGTGGGGTCTGTGGGACTTGGCTCCCCAGCAGAGTGGTGTTTCAAAGAAATGAAGTGAAATCTTACCCAGAGCTTCTGTGTGTGAAGCAGATGAGAAGGCGGCTGCTGTTTGGAGCACAGGTGGCCCCTCAACGCCCCTTTTGGACTCCAGGATCAAGGAGCCACCTCAGATCAGCTGTCCCCTGGCTAGGAAGGGTGAGGGGCTAGGGAAGACACCTGCCCTGCATCCTGCCCGTTGTGCCCTGGACAGCACCAGGTTCTGGAGGCTTCCCACTCCTTGGGAGGGCTGAGTGGGTCCTGGGGAGTGTGTGCGGCCTCCATTTGGGGGCAATGCTGAGCAGTGGGCTCCTCAGACACCGGAGGCACCGAGGCCCGCTGGGGCCACCAGCCGTGTCGGCTGCACTGATGGCCGCCTGCTCCGTATGCTGACACATACCAGGCAGTGCTCAAAGTGCTTCATCGGACTCAACTCACCCACCAGCCCTAGCAGGTAACCAGGCAGGTGGTGTCATTGATCCGTGTTATAGACGAGGAAGCTGATGTGCAGGGTGACACTCCCGGGACCGTGGAGCTCGTCATGGGGCAGCTGGGCTTTGGTTCTCAGTCTGGCTCCAGAGCACAGGCCTGACCAAGACACAGCCCTGCCTGCCCCTCTGTGAAGGGGAGGCCTGGCCACTGGGACCAGCTGTGCACCCTGGGGGCACCTTTCCTGGGCCGCTGGATCACAGCCCCTCTGTTCAGGTAGCGGGACTGGGATGGCCCATGCTGGTCCCCTGCTCCCAGCACTAGCCCTGGGCGTCTTCCCAAGAGAGGACAGAGCTCAGACGCCAGGTACTTGGGCAGACACATGGGAAATGAAGGGAGGCGGCAGGGTGCCCATCTGAGCTGGGGTCTGACAGCCAGGCTGTGGGGAGGGGGACTTTCCATCCTGCTTTTTTTTTTTTTTTTTTTTTTTGAGACGGAGTTTCGCTCTTGTTACCCAGGCCGGAGTGCAATGGCGCGATCTCGGCTCACCGCAACCTCCGCCTCCCGGGTTCAGGCAATTCTCCTGCCTCAGCCTCCTGAGTAGCTGGGATTACAGGCACGAGCCACCATGCCCAGCTGATTTTTTGTATTTTTAGTAGAGACGGGGTTTCACCATGTTGACCAGGATGGTCTCGATCTCTTGACCTTGTGATCCACCCGCCTCGGCCTCCCAAAGTGCTGGGATTACAGGCTTGAGCCACCGCGCCCGGCTCCATCCTGCTCTTGAGGTGTACACAGCACCTGGGGGTGAGCCCCAGGCTGAGTCACCACAGCACCTACGTGCAGGGAGAGCCTGATGGTGTGGGCCCGCGACCAGGGTGGTCCTCCCTGTAAAACTCCCCTGAGTTTTACAAAATAACTCTTTGTACAAAATAAGCTTTGCATTTTTCTCTATTTCGAGGTGTAATTGACGTAAACTGCACCTATTTAAAACACATAATTTGGTGCATTTTGACATGTTTGTACCTGTGAACCTCTTGCCACAGTCAAGGTGAGTATACTGATGACCCTGCGCCTGGGCAGCCACTCGTTTGCTGTCACTGTGGATTAGTTTGCATCCTGTGGAATTTAATATAAAGAGAATCGTATGGCATGCAGTCTTTTCGTCTGGCTGCTTTCACTCGGCAAAATCATTCTGACATTTATCCATGTCTGAAATCTTTGGATGTTCATCCTTGACACACATCCACGGTACATGTATGAAAAGTCCACCCCACGGTATGGATATTACACAGCCTGTTTATCCATCCATATGTGGATGGACTTCCAGGCCATTTCCAGCTTTTGGTTATACAAATAAAGCTGCTGTGAACCTTTGTGTACAGATCTTTGCACAAATGCTTCCACTTACCTTAGATAAATACTTATGGTGGGAATGACTGTGTCATATGGTGGATTCATACTTAACTCTTTAAGAAACTACCAAACATGGCCGGGCGCGGTGGCTCAAGCCTGTAATCCCAGCACTTTGGGAGGCCAAGGCGGGTGGATCACGAGGTCAAGAGATCGAGACCAACGTGGTCAACATGGTGAAACCCTGTCTCTACCAAAAATACAAAAAATTAGCTGGGCATGGTGGTGCGTGCCTGTAATCCCAGCTACTCAGGAGGCTGAGGCGGGAGAATTGCCTGAGCCCAGGAGGCGGAGGTTGCGGTGAGCCGAGATCGCGCCATTGCACTCCAGCCTGGGTGACAAGAGTGAAAAAACTCCATCTCAAAAAAAAAAAAAAAAAAGAAACTACCAAACTTGGCCTGGTGCAGTGGCTCACGCCTGTAATTCAGCAAGTGAAACCCTGTCTCTACTAAAGATACAAAAAACTAGTCAGGCGGGGTGGCAGACGCCTGTAGTCCCAGCTACTCAGGAGGCTGAGGCAGGGGAAACAGTTGAACCTGGGAGGTGGGGAGGTTGCAGTGAGCTGAGGCTGCAGCACTGCACTCCATTCTGAGTCTGGGCAACAAGAACAAAACTCAGTCTCAAAAAGAAAAAAAAAATATCCTTTTTATCTTTTTTTTTTTTTGAAATGGAGTTTCGCTCTGTTGAGCAGGCTGGAGTGCAATGGCATGATCTTGGCTCAGTGCAGCCTCTGCCTCCTGGGTTCAAGCGATTCTCCTGCCTCAGCCTCCTGAGTAGCTGGGATTACAGGCACGCGCCACCACGCCCGGCTAATTTTTGTATTTTTAGTAGAGACGGGGTTTCACCATGTTGACCAGGATGGTCTCGATCTCTTGACCTCGTGATCCACCCGCCTCGGCCTCCCAAAGTGCTGGGATTACAGGGTTGAGCCACCGCACCCAGCCTGTTTTTTGTATTTTTTAATAGAGACAGGGTTTCATCATGTTGCCCAGGCTGGTCTAGAAGTCCTGACCTCAGGCACTGCCTGCCTTGGCCTCCCAAAGTGCTGGGATCACAGGTGTGAGCCACTGTGCCTGGCCCTTTTTATTCCTTTTAATATCTGTAAACTGTGTATTGATGTCACCTCTCTCATTCCCGACACGGGTAATGTATCTGTCAGCCCAGTGAGGTGTTTTGTTTATCAATTTTACTGACCGCCTCAAAGGACCAACTTTTTGCACGTTAATTTTCTCATTTTTCTAACTTCTATTTCACTGATTTTAGATAAATTATTTATTATTTCATTTTTTCTGCTTACATTAAGTTTAATGTGCTCTTCTTTTTCTGGTTGGTTAAGGTAGAGGCTGAGGTCATTACTTTGAGATCTTTGCTCACACAGACCTTTAGGGCTATGCTTTTCCCCGTAAGTATTGCTTCAGTGGCATCTCACAAATTATAAGTTGTGTTTTTGCTTTCACTCAATTGAAAACACTTTCTAATTTCCCTTTAGAAGTCTTCCTTACACAGATTTCAGAAGTGTGTTATTTAGCTTTCAAATATTTGAGGAATTCCCAGAGATTTTCCTATTCATTTATGATTGAATTTCATTTTACTTTGCATGCTTAAATTCAATTTATTGAGATTTGTGTGCAGGGAGAAAAATCTTTCTCTATTTCCCTTCTCATAGGCCTCATAATCCTACTGGATTAATAATTCACCCTTATGATTTTATTTTATTTTATTTTATTATTTTATTATTTTTTTTTTGAGACGGAGTTTCGCTCTTGTTACCCAGGCTGGAGTGCAATGGCGTGATCTCGGCTCACCACAACCTCCGCCTCCTGGGTTCAGGCAATTCTCCTGCCTCAGCCTCCTGAGTAGCTGGGATTACAGGCACATGCCACCACGCCCAGCTAGTTTTTTGTATTTTTAGTAGAGACGGGGTTTCACCATGTTGACCAGGATGGTCTCGATCTCTCGACCTCGTGATCCACCCGCCTCGGCCTCCCAAAGTGCTGGGATTACAGGCTTGAGCCACCACGCCCGGCCCCTTATGATTTTATTTAACCCTCATTACCTCCTAGAGGCCCTTCCTCCAATACAGCTGTAATAGGGTTAGGGCTTCCATGTAGGAATGGGCTGGGGCACCATTCAGTCCACAGCAGGAGATGGGATTTATCTATTTATCCTGCAGCCCTCAGTTTCATGTATTTTGGGGCTGTGACATTAGAGGTGTAGGCATTTGGGATTATTATGCATGTCAGTCAACTCCCTTTGTGAAATGACTATACGATTTTCTTTGCTCTGAAATCCACTTTGTCTTGTATTAATGCAGCCACTCCGGCTTTCTTTTGACTGGTGTTAGCGTGGTGTATCTTTTCCATCCTTTTTTTTTTTTTTTTGAGATGGAGTTTCGCTCTTGTCACCCAGGCTGGAGTGCAATGGCGCGATCTCGGCTCACCGCAACCTCCGCCTCCTGGGTTCAGGCAATTCTCCTGCCTCAGCCTCCTGAGTAGCTGGGATTACAGGCACGCGCCGCCATGTCCAGCTAATTTTTTGTATTTTTAGTAGAGACGGGGTTTCACCATGTTGACCAGGATGGTCTCGATCTCTTGACCTCGTGATCCACCCGCCTCGGCCTCCCAAAGTGCTGGGATGACAGGCGTGAGCCGCCGCGCCCGGCCTTTTCCATCCTTTTAAGCTATTTTTTTCATAGACGATGCATTTTTGCACATGACGTGTTGGCTTTTGCTTTATTTTTCCCACCTGCCAATCTGTCATTTACCTGGAGTGTTTGTTTTTGACAGTCATGTTCGCTGTCATATGCTGAGGTTTGAGTCTGTCATCTTTCGGTTTGTCTCATCCGCCCTTCGCTCCCTCCTCCCTCTTTACCTGCCTTCTTCTGGGTTGTTCTGTGTTTCCGTCTCGCCTCCTCTGCTGGCTGACTAGCCGTCCGCGGTGTGCTTAACGGCCCCTCCACGGTTTAGGCAGCACGTGGCTCCCAGCTGCAGCCTCACCTCTTCCCTGTTGCCAGGTGAATGAATGGCAGGATGACTGGCCCACCTTTTTCGCCCGGCACCGGCTCCAGGCGCAGCTGGACCTCATTGAGAAGGACTATGCTGACCGAGAGGCACGAGAACTCTGGTCCCGGCTACAGGTGGGCACGGCAGTGACTTCTCTGGGCAAGGGCTGGTCCTCTCATGAGCCCACCCCATTTGTGTGGGGTCCTCTGTGAAACCGAGCCCCGGAGCAGAGAGGGTCAAGTCAGGGGCACATCAGTGCCTGACCAGCGGCCTGACCGGGAAGCCGAAGGGGCGAGAAGTGAAGACAGGCTTGGCTCCTGCCCCTCTCCCCTGCTGGGCCGCCAGGTGTTCAGCCTCAGGCTTTCCTCATGTGAAACGCAGGTGCTTGTAAAGGGTGTCGCTGACCCCGATCACTTTTCTTACTGTCAGTAACACTTGTCCACTCCAGCCCATTCCTCTCCCTTGGGAAGACGTGGGTACTGGATGCTCCAGTGACTGATTTCAACTCGTGACTGTCGGCCAGGTGCAGTGGCTCACGCCTGTAACTGCAGCACGTTGAGAGACTGAGGCAGGCGGTTCACTTGAGGTCAGGAGTTTGAGACTGGCCTGGCCAATGTGGTGAAACCCCGTCTCTCCTAAAAATACGAAAATGAACCGGGCATGGTGGTGCGTGCCTGAAATCCCAGCTACCTGGGAGGCTGAGGCAGGAGAATCGCTTGAACCCGGGAGGTGGAGGTTGCAGAGAGCCGAGATGGCGCCACTGCACTCCGGCCTGGGTGACAGTGAGACTCCGTCTCCATGATTGATTGACACCAATCAATACATGACAGACAAAGCTTGCAGACACACGTGGGAAGTGAAATGAAAGTGGAGGGAGTAGGCCGGGCGCGGTGGCTCAAGCCTGTAATCCCAGCACTTTGGGAGGCCGAGGTGGGTGGATCACGAGGTCAAGAGATCGAGACCATCCTGGTCAACATGGTGAAACCCCGTCTCTACTAAAAATACAAAAAATCAGCTGGGCATGGTTGTGCGTGCCTGTAATCCCAGCTACTCAGGAGGCTGAGGCAGGAGAATTGCCTGAACCCAGGAGGCGGAGGTTGCGGTGAGCCGAGATCGCGCCATTGCACTCCAGCCTGGGTAACAAGAGCGAAACTCCGTCTCAAAAAAAAAGAAAGTGGAGGGAGTTTGCTACGGTGGCCGTCACTGTGCCCGTCTGCGGATGGACCAGACTGTGATCTTGGCGGTTCTCCCGTGTGGAAGTCACTCGTTAGCATGTGCAGCTTCTAGACCTAAGTTAGGAGGAAATCCTGTTAGACAAAGCTGGACTCCCTGGAGTCTGGGCTTGGCAAGCAGTGCTGAGTCCGACTGGAGCCGGCTCGCAGGGGCCTCTGCCTTACGGCCACGAAGGAGGTGATGGGGCCGGGGCCCCCCAGGCCGGCGCTAACTGCGGCCGTTGCTCTCCCAGGTGAAGATCCCGGATCTGTTCTGCGGCCTGGAGATGGTTCCTGCCTTGCTCCATGGGGATCTCTGGTCGGGAAACGTGGCTGAGGACGACGCGGGGCCCATTATTTACGACCCGGCTTCCTTCTACGGCCATTCCGAGTTTGAACTGGCAATCGCCTTGATGTTTGGGGGCTTTCCCAGGTCCTTCTTCACTGCGTACCACCGGAAGATCCCCAAGGCTCCCGGCTTCGACCAGCGGCAGCTGCTCTACCAGCTCTTTAACTACCTGAACCACTGGAACCACTTCGGGCGGGAGTACAGGAGCCCTTCGCTGGGCACCATGCGGAGGCTGCTCAAGTAGCGGACCCCGCGCCTGCCCCCCGCCCCCCGCCCCTGCGCCCTTCCCCGGCCCCTTGTCCCGGTCCGTGTTCCCCAGTCCGCTACCTCCCGCCCCTGCCCCCTTCACCCGCCCGCGTCCCGGTCCCCCTTCCCTCTGCTCCCTGCCCCCTCGCAGATGCAGGGGGACAATAAAGTCCACAGCGGGCCTCGGCTGGCATCCCACGCCTCCGTGCTCCGCGCGTGGGGCTGCTTTCAGTCGAACGGGCGCGGACGTTTTTGCGGCGATTCCGGAGAAACGCACGCGGACCCGGTCGCCGAGACCAAAGTCGGCGCAGCGCCCAACGCGGCCTCCGGGCCCTGCTCCCGCTCGGGGGCGCGCCAGGGCTCGGCGCGGGGTCCGTGGGGTCCGCGAGTCCCAGCGCGGCTGGAATGGGTGACAGGGCGGTCGGCACTGAGCGGTGGGTCCCGGGACTCGCCTCGCGCCCCCGACCACGTGCTCAGGCCTTGCCCCGCCCCCTGCCAACCCACGCGTGCTCAAGCCCCGCCCCTGCCCAGCGTGCTCCGGCGTCAACTCCGCCTTCCACCGGCCCCACCCGGCAGCCCCGCCGGCCGCGCCTCAGGCTCCACCCCCTGTCCCGCCCCGCCCCCAGGCTCCACCCCTGTCCCGCCCCGCCCCAGACTCCACCCCCTGTCCCGCCCCGCCCCCAGGCTCCACCCCGTTTCCCGCCCCGCCCTCCGCGCCTCAGGCTCTACCCCCTGTCCCGCCCCGCCCTCTGCGCCTCAGGCTCCACCACCTGTCCCGCCCCGCCCACTGCGCCTCAGGCCCCACCCCCTGTCCTGTCCCGCCCCGCCCCGCCCACTGCGCCTCAGGCCCCACCCCCTGTCCTGTCCCGCCCCGCCCTCCGCGCCTCAGGCCCCATCCCCTGTCCCGCCCCGCCCTCCGCGCCTCAGGCTCCACCCCGTGTCCCGCCCCTTCCTCCGCGCCTCAGGCCCCACCCCCTATCCCGCCCCGCCCTCCGCGCCTCAGGCCCCATCCCCTGTCCCGCCCCGCCCTCCGCGCCCCAGGCACCACCCCGTCCCGCCCCGCCCTCCGCGCCTCAGGCTCCACCCCGTGTCCCGCCCCTCCCTCCGCGCCTCAGGCCCCATCCCCTGTCCCGCCCCTCCCTCCGCGCCTCAGGCCCCATCCCCTGTCCCGCCCCGCCCTTCGCGCCCCAGGCACCACCCCGTCCCGCCCCGCCCCCCGCGCCTCAGGCTCCACCCCCTGTCCCGCCCCGCCCTCCGCGCCTCAGGCGCCGCCGCGCGGTCCCGGCTCCACTCGCGCCCTGTGGGGGCCGCGGCGCGCTCTTCCAGAGCCTTTGAGCCCCGCCCCCGCTCGCGCCCAGCCGGGCACGGCGCCGTCCCGCGCGCGGTATTTTGGCGGCCGGCGCGTTCCGTAGCGAGGCCGGCGAGCGGGGTCGGAGGTCGCGGGGCGGGGCCGCGTCCGTTGCCGCCTCGGCGGGCGCCGCCTGCTCTTCCCTCGGCCCTCAGCCCCGGCGCTCACGCTGCGGCGGGGTCCGAGCTGCGGGTCCGCAGGCCGCCGAGATGGCCCTGAGCGACGAGCCGGCCGCGGGCGGCCCCGAGGAGGAGGCCGAGGCCGAGGCCGAGGCGCTGGCCGTTGGCGCGGCGCTGGCGGCGTTCGGCGAGAGCGCGGAGACCCGGGCGCTGCTGGGCCGCCTGCGGGAGGTGCAGGGCGGCGGGAAGGCGCACGAGGTGGCCCTGCAGCAGTTCCGCGGTGCGTGGCGGGGCGCGGCGTCGGGGGCTCGGGGGGGCGCGCGCCTGTCTCGGGGCCGGCTCGCGCGCGGGGCAAAGCGTCTGCGGCCTCCCCGGAGGCGGGGCCCCGCTCCGGTCTCGGCCCCTGGAGGAGGCGCCGGGCGGCGGGTCGTTCCCGCGGGGTGGACTCCCGGGCCCGCTCCCCCGAGCCCGCTTCCTGTGGGCGTTGCGTGGACGGGAGGGGTGAGAGGAGGACGCGGGGACCGAACCTGCTGCGGACAAAGGCTGCGGGTTCCGCGGACGCCGCGTGGAGCGCGCCGGCGGGTCCGTGCGTCTGCGGCGGTGCGCGGGGTGTGCAGGGGGTGAGGGGGTGCGGGGGTGCGGGGTGTGCTGGGGGGTGTGCAGGGTGTGCTGGGGGGGTGCGGGATGTTGTGGGTGCGGGGTGTGCGGGGTGTGCGGCGTGTGCGGGGGGTGTGCGGGGTGTGCTGGGGTGCGGAGTTGCAGAGGGTGCTGGGGGTGCGAGGTGTGCGGGGGTGCGGGGTGTGCTTTGGGTGCTGGGGTGCGGGGGGTGCTGGGGGGTGCTGGGGGTGCGAGGTGTGCGGGGGCTGCAGCGTGTGCTGGCGGTGCGGGGTGTGCGGGGGCGTGGGGGGTGCGAGGGTGCGGGGTGTGCGTCCTTGCGTGAGCCTCACTTCTCCGGGTTCAGAGCCGCTTTGCAGCCGTCCATAACGGTGATTTCCAAGCAAGCCCTTAGGGTCTTGTGGTTAGCGACACGGGGCTCTGTGGTGCAGTAAGCTCATCTCTGTGGACCCTTCGATAGGAGGAGCTTCTGCGAAGTGTGGCCTCCCTCGGTTCAGAGTGACAGCGCTCCGAGTTAGGAGTCAGGCGGGTGGGGGGCCTGTGGGCGGGTGCGGGCTTGGCCGTCAGGTGCCCCTGCCTGTGAGTACCTGATGCTTGCCTGGGGTTGGCAACGGTGCCTCTGGCAGGACTGTTCGAGGGTGAGGGACCCTCATCCAGGGACCGGGGAAGCCAGAGTTCTCGTTCATGCTGTAACAGCCCAATGGGTTCCTTTTTGCACTTTTTTTTTTTTTTTTTTTCAGATTGAGTGTCGCTCTGTCGCCCAGGCTGGAGTGCAGTGGCGCGATCTCTGCTCACTGCAACCTCTGTCTTCGGAATAGCTGGGATTGCAGGCGCGCGCCTCCGCGACCGGCTAACTTGATATTTTTGGTAGAGGGGGTTTTACCGTGTTGGCCCAGCTGGTCTCAAACTCCTGACTGAAGTGATCACCCGCCTCGGCCTCACAAAGTGCTGGGGTTACAGGCGTGAGCCACCGCGCCCGGCCCCAGTGGGTTCTTCTTGCGGGCTGCCCTGATAGCCCATTTGTCAAGACTGGGGAATTGCAGTGGGGAGTTTAATTCACACAGAGCTGTTTGAAAGGGAGACTGGAGTCTTATTAATACTCAGATCAGTCTCCCTGAGAATTTGGGGGCCCGGAATTTTTAGAGGCAATCTGGGGGAAAGGGCAGGGGTGGCTGCTGATTGGTTAGGGGTGTGCAATCAATCATAGGGAGTCGGCAATGATGCTGTGTGCTGAATCGCCTCTGGGCGGGGCTCCAAGAGCAGTGGCGGGTCCAGGTGGAGCCTTCCTGGGTCGCTGGGGCCTGGTGGATGCTAGCGTCGGTGTCAGACATGTAAACAATCTGAAAACATACCTCTAAAGGCCAGTCTCAGGTTCTGCAACAGTGATGTGGCCTGCAGGACTACCTGGGGAACTTGCCTGCCTTGTGACCCCAGGAATGATGGCGGCAATTGTTTACGTTACACCTTAGCGGAATTCAGGCTCCTCTTCCTCCTAGCCTGGTGGCCTCTCACGAGCTTTACAAAGGCAGTTGAGTTTTGGGGAAGGGCTCTTACTATTTAAACTACAAAGTAAATGTCTCCCAAAGGTAGTGTGGCAGCTCAAAGAGTAAAGGCATGAGGGGATTGGCTGGATCAAATCTCCCTCATTGCCGTAATTTTCTCACTGATCTAATTTTTGCGAAGGCAGTTTTGCTGGGAAGCAGTGAGTGTGTTCAGATGTGGAAGTGGGAGCTGTTGGATTGGACGGAAGCAGTCAGCTGCTGAGAGGAGTGGAGAGCAGGTGGCTCAGGGTCAGGGAGGTTGTGGAGTCGTGGGTCGGAAGAGTTGGCAGGGGTGTGGAAGGGAGCAATGCCTGGATATGTAAAGCAGGAAGTATCTGAGACAGGTCTCAGTAAGTTTAGAAGTTTCTTTTGCCAAGGTTAGGGACTGTCTGTGAGGCGTTCTCAGGAGGTCACATGCCCTCGAGGAAGTCAGGCTACAGCTTAGTTTCATATGTTTTAGGGAGACAGGAGGCATCAGTCGGTACATACTAGATGTACATTGGTCTAGTCAGAAGAGGCAGGACGTCTTGGGTGGGAGGGCTTCCAGGTCATAGGTGGATTCAAATATTTCACCAGTGATAACTGGTTGAAAAGAGTTTATCTGAAGAGCTGGAATCCGAGGAAGGGATTGTCTAGGTTACGATAACTCGTGGAGACCAAGGTTCTTGTTATGCAGATGAAGCTTCCAGTTAGCTGGTTTCAGAGAGAATACATTATAAATACTTTTTCTCAGACTAAAAAGGTACCAGACTTAGTTAATTCTCTCCTGGATTAGGGAAAAGACCCAGAAAGGAAAGAGATTTTCTACAGAATGTAGCTTTTCCCTACAAGAGCCAACTTTGCAGGGCCATTTCAAAGTATGTGAAAGAAATATATTTTAGGGAAAAAATGTTTGATTTCTTTCAGGGCATGCTGTCTGGCATGTGGTGCTGTACTAGAGTCAGGCTGGAACTTGGTGTCTTACTGTTACTGAAGTATTTTAATGCTAGTACTCAGCAGCTGTGCCTGAGTTCCAATGGGAAGAGGGTTTAATGAAGCCTGTCTGAACCCCCTCCTCAACTCCCTTTCCATCATGAGGCCTGAACTAGTTTTTCGGGTTAAGTTTGGAGTGCCCTTGGCCAAGTGGAAGGGTCCGTTACATGGCTGGGGGGCTGAGAATGTTTTTACAGGCGTGTTTGGCAGGGGAGTGTGAGAGGAGTGCCAGGATGTGTGTCTCACAAGGGCAGCATTGAGCTTGGCCCTTAATGGCCGGCAGAGGCAGGGGAGAGTGAAGGAATGGAGAGGTGAGGAGGAGACTGTTAGGAGAGGGTAGAGGAGGTGGGAGAAGAGGACGAGAAAGACAGACGTGCCGGGCAAGCAGACTGCACGTGGCTGGGACCAGTGGCCCTTGAAAGGCCAAAGGGAGTTGGAGCTTTCCCTCCAGGTGGCCTGTGTGGCCTCCGTTAGTGAGAGGGGGGAGGTGTGCTTCTGAGAGCAGCATAGGCTGGGGAAGAGACGGAGCTGTTCTGTGGAAGCTAGCAGGGAAAATGGGGTTTCTGAGGCTCACGGGCGTGTTTGGCCTAATAATTAATTTCGTGTTATATTTGTTTTTAGGAATAATGAACAAATATCAGG